CCCCCACGGTGTGACCCTCCCCTCGCCCGGACCCCTCCCCTCACACAAACCCCTCCCCCACCGTGTGACCCTCCCCTCGCCCGGACCCCTCCCCTCACAGAAAGCCCTCCCCCACCGTGTGGCCCCCTCCCTCACGATCCTCCCCTCACAGGGACCCCTCCCCCATTATTTGACCGTCCCCTTCCGGGACCCCTCCACCACTGTGACACTCCCCTTACAGGGCTCCCTTCCCCCACCATGTGACCCCTCCCCCACCTATATGATTCCTCCCCTCATAGGAACCCCGCCCACACCGGGTGATCCTTCCCTCATAGGAACCCCGTCCCCAACATGTGACCCCCCTTCCCCACCTCCTCCCCTCAGAGGGACCTCTCCCCTACCAACGCATGACCCTCCCTTCAGAGGAACCCCTCCCCCACCTTCCCCTCTCAGAGACCCTGCCTCCCCCACCCCTCACAGAGACTCTCCCCCACTGCACTCCTCCCCCACTCTGTGACCCCTCCCCTCACAGAGAGCCCCACACCCACTGCCCTCCCATCTCATGATCCCTCAGAGAGACCCTCTCCCCGTGACCCCACTCTTCAGAGAGAACCCCTCCCCACCCCTCTGCTCTTTCACCCCATGACCCCTTCCTAGCCCTGTGACCCCTCCCCCACCCCCACTGTGGGCTACTGTCCCACTTCTCCATACAACACAGCACCCTCCCCCTCCCTGCCTAGACCCTCCTCCCCAGGTCCCCCACTGCCTGGGGTGGAGGGGAGACTGTTCCACTGGGATGATCAGCAACAAAAGTGGCCATCATTAGGGACCAGAGTTAACTCCCACACTGATGAGGCAGGTATTTCCCATCCCCTCCCCCGTCCCGTCTCCCATGGCTCCTCTGACCCACCTCTCCTCTCACATTAGCAGAGTCACACACAGAATCCCCTCCAGGTCGGGGCCGAAATCCAGTCCCGGTTTTTCGCCTCCCAGGGCTGCACCCAGAGCCCCTTCCAGGTGAGCAAATGCGGGGGCCATGGGGTGCTGGGTCAGATATTTCCCCAGGGCAGGGCACTAGCTGGAATGGGACTTGGGGCCTTTCCCCTCTAGGGGGCGCCAATTGAAATCCATCTCCAGAAGTGGCTGCATCTCATCCCGGTAGAGTTTAGTCCAGCAGAAACACTCTGCTCTCGTTAGCTTGACATTGTTCTCAGGAGTTATCGTAAAGCCTGTTCACAAATGGCAAAGCAAGAACAGTATGGCTCAGAAAGAACGTATTTGCAGAAATATCTCGATTAAGGACCAAATTGGTTACAAAAATTCCCATGATAGATTTCCTTAACTGTGTCCTGCAGTTCATAATTGCATCTGATTGGATTATACAATTTCTAATTGATTATGCCATCTTCCTACTTGGATATGTGATCACTTACATGAAGTACCGAGCAACGGGGCTTGGGGATCACAGTAAGGTTACTCACGAAAAACAGGACAAGGAATTAACTTTAAATAAACAAAGATTTCTACAAATTGCTTTTTGCTAGTTAGAGCCAGTCTCGTCAGGTTTCGCTGGTTCGACCCAGCAATCTGACTGACACTTGCTCTGTCTCATGATAGACATCCCTGCCTCCAAAGTCGTCGACACCTTTATTTTTAGGAGTGTAAATTGACCCATTGAAATTAGTAAGAGGTTTTCATGGCTAAAATAAGGCTCGTGCATAAATCTCCAGAGGAGTGGGGCCCTAGATGGTCAGAATAAAGTTAAGAGAGTTTTTTGGCCTTGAATTTCCTAGTTGTTTTCCTCAATTAAAATGAAATGAGCGGGGTTTGGGTTGAAATTTCTCCCAGTTTATTTTTGTAAATAATTTATTTGAAAAAGTGAGAAATTCCAGAACAATCTTTAACTTAACAGAGTTCATTGTTTCAGAATTTCTCCAGGGAAATAAGCCAAGGAAGCTTGATGTGTGTGGGAATTGGGTGGGTTTTCAAAAAATATATATAATCTGATTAGACATTTTACATTATAGATCTAATATAATTCTGTATGTATTACGAAAAAGTGCACTCAAAATATGTAAGGTCATATATTACATTATATTGTTTTTCTCATTATTTGTCCTTAATTCAGTTTTAAAAAATTGGGTTGGAATTTCTCATTTCATTTTGAAAATGGTACATTGAATTTTTTTGATCTAAAACATCCCAGTTGTTTTAAATTTTTGTGTATATATATATATATATATATATATATATATAATAAACTAAGTAGATTTCTTAGTTGAAATGTGTTTCTCCCCCCTCCCCCCCCGTAAATATTTCACTTTATCTTTTAGCAAATGCGAAATTGCAGCTCCAGTATTTTGAATTTATTGAAAAACCCTTCAAATCTCTAGGACAAACTAACCCTGTCTCTTGGTTATTTTAAAGACCAGTATTTTTGTTGTGCTGGATTTTCCCCAGATTGTATTAAAATAAATCTTCAAAAATTTTTGCGCTGGAATTTTTTTTACAGATAACAAATTGTTTGGTTTCTTCAGTTGTTGTTGGGGAGGCAAAAGTTTTTTTCCAGGTATTTTTAAATAATTAAAATGAAATCTGATGCCGTTGGCTTTGAATTACAACGTCACAGGGCTTGAAACAAAAGGAAGTGATCACACTTGTGTCGGGCCAGAATTCCCGGGTTAAAGAAATACAAGAAGAGGCTTTGCTCATGTCTTGTTATCCCATAACGCGAGGAAGCTTCCGGAGCGTGGAACTTCCCAGGGCTCGTTTGTTTCTTTGTCATTAATGCAATGAAGAGGCTTTTGTCTCTGTTAACGAAGTTTTGGGGACTGGAATTTCCCAGGATTTTCAATGGAAAATCCAAAGCTTTGGGGGCTGGAATTTGCCCTGGTTGGTTTTGACCGTGATGCCCCTTCTGAGTCTGCCCCCGCCTCCCTCTAACCCCCTCTCCCTCCCCCGCAGGCTGCCGCCGCGGCGCCCCCGCCACCCGCTCCAGCCACCTCTGCTGATTCCCTGCAGGTGGACCTGCTCCCGGTGCTGGCGGCCGCCCAGGAGACGGCAGCGGCCGCGGCGGTGGTGGCGGCTGCCACGGCCTCAGCTCCAGCGGCCTCCACTGTGGACACGGCAGCCCTGAAACAGCCGCAGCCGGGGCCCGAGGGGAGTGGGGGACAGGTGGCCCCAGCCCCACAGGCCACCTCCCAGCCCCCCCCGGCCCAGCCGCCCGCGCCGCCCCCGCCCAGCGAGGCCCAGAAGAAGTCGAAGAGCAAGGGGCCGTACATCTGCTCGCTCTGCGCCAAGGAGTTCAAGAACGGCTACAATCTCCGGCGCCACGAGGCCATCCACACGGGCGCCAAGGCCGCCCGCGCCAGCCCCGCCGCCATGAAGATGCCCACCATGGTGCCCCTCAGCCTGCTGAGTGTCTCAGCCCTGGGGGCGGGCGGGGGCGGGGCGGCGCCGGGGGCGGAGGGGGGCGGGGCGGCGGGGCTGGTGACCACCACGGCCTCTGGCAAGCGGATCCGGAAGAACCACGCCTGCGAGATGTGCGGCAAGGCCTTCCGTGACGTCTACCACCTCAACCGGCACAAGCTGTCGCACTCGGACGAGAAGCCCTACCAGTGCCCCGTGTGCCAGCAGCGCTTCAAGCGCAAGGATCGCATGAGCTACCACGTGCGCTCGCACGACGGCGCTGTGCACAAGCCCTACATCTGCAGCCACTGTGGCAAGAGCTTCTCCCGGTACGGCCGTCGCGGGGCGGGGGGAGCCGAGCGGGGCGCGGGCTGGGTGCAGGGGGGCTGCAGGGGCGTTGCCAAGCCGTGACCTGTATTTGCTCCCCCCGTAGGCCGGACCATCTCAACAGCCACGTGCGCCAGGTGCATTCGACAGAGAGACCCTTCAAATGTGAGGTACCTACCCACCCGCCTCCCCCTGCGCCCCACCAGGGGATGGGCTCCTCAAGGAGAGACTGGGATGGGGAACGGGATCCAGGCGTCCGGGACGGCTCCTCTAGGGGGGCCTCACAGCACTTCTGGAGGGACTGGAGTGGGGAACCGGGCATCTGGGAGGGCTTCCCTGGGGAGTCCCACAGCGCTCCCAGAGACTGCAAAAGGGTATGGGACCCAGGCATCCGGGACAGCTCCCCCAGGGGATCCACTGTTGCTCCCAGAGACGGGACTGGGACCCAGATGTCTGGGACAGCTCCCCTAGAGGGGCCCCAGAGCACTCCTAGGGAGGGGAGATGTCTGGGGTGCCGGCCCCCCTAACGCCCCGCTCCCCCCAGACATGCGAGGCGGCCTTCGCCACGAAGGACCGGCTGCGGGCACACACGGTGCGCCACGAGGAGAAGGTGCCGTGTCACGTGTGCGGGAAGATGCTCAGCGCCGCCTACATCACGGACCACATGAAAGTTCACAGCCAGGGGCCCAACCACATCTGTGAGCTGTGCAACAAAGGTAGGGAGGCCGGGGGTGTGAGAGAGAGAGCCGTGTACCCCTTTACCCGCCAA